TTTACAATGGTATTCTTCACTATAATATATTTTTAGCTGTTTCAAATGTTTGTTTCTTTTGATAAAATTTTGCGGCATTTTATTGTATCTACTGTGTTATTTTTATATATGATTATAAACTGCACAGAGAACTTGGGCTGTTGGGTGGTATGGAATGAAATAAAATAAAAGTAATAATAGCAGCAGCATATGAACAAACAATATACATTTATTATATGAGATGCTTTCTGTATAATTTTCCATTGCTTTTTAAATGCACTCTTGGAATCGTGAAGTTCTGCTGCTTTTAAAGTTAAACACAAATCCATATAGTCAAACAATCTGCAAATTATTGCACCATAGTTTCAAGGGTAGGTTCCCAATTCTGTTTGAAGCCAAATAGCACTTGCCTTTAAATTTAGTATAAAATCATGGTGAAAAAAAACACCAGAACTTAAAAGAAAAGCAAACTTTTCTCATACTATTGCTGAACTTGAAATGAAACTTCCTTTTGAAAAAAAATTCCCCTATGAAGGCCGCCCTCAAGAGGACTCTTAAAATTCAAAAGCTTCAGCATGTCAGACGATCCAATAAAAATGTAATTACTTCACCAGGGAAAAAGAGAGAAATGAAAAACCAGTGTTGTGGCTTGAAGAGCAGAAACCCTGCTAAATTGATCAGTATGCAACCAGAACAGAAAGTGTAATACACGGATGGTTGCATGGTTATGCATTTCTGCATCTGGAAGGATTTCTTACAAAATATATAAATGCATGCATTTATTTATACAGCTTTTACAAAATGGGTGGGAAGCAGAATCAATAAAAACCAGCTGGGAAGATGGGAATCCCATCAGGCCAGGCAGTGTCCCAGTGATCAATGAGGAGCAGGTCCCAATACAGTGCCATAGCAGGCAGGGCATTTGCTTGTCTGCCGGCTGCCAAGCCCATTCGTTGGCCTGCCTTTCAGTAGCGTCAACTGTCCATCCAAAATTCCACCTTCTCTAAGCAAGCACTGACCCTTTGGCTACCACCCCTGCCCAGTGCCTCTGTTGAAGGAAACAATGGGAAATAATTCAGAACTGGAAAAGCAGACAGTGGCCGAAGATGGCTCAACAATGTTAATAAGCAGCATATGATCATTTGCCTTGCTTGTATTCTTCAGGCAGAAATGTGATCCAGAGACTGGTCCACAGAATGACTTTTCCTATAGCAGGGTAAGTAATTATCATGAGCTGGGCCCTTGCCTTCTTGCCCTTAGGCTGGGAAGCACCAGAGAGGCTCTTTGCAATGCAGATCTTTATTGGCACTTTGCAACTACAAGATAAAGAAACTCTAAAAAAAAAGTGCTCTAGTAAGTGGAAAGATAAGCCTTTGCTCATATAAAGAGTGTTGAACCCAAACTGGGAATTTCTTCCCCATATCCTTCCCTTTCAGTAAAACTGTGGGTGCCACTCTCAGGTGACTCCTGCTGGTGAACAGCAGGACAGCAAGACCAACACCAGCCCTCCAGCTGGGCACTACCACAAAACAGCTGTTCTGGGAGGTAGGGCAAAGGACAAGTGATCATTGTAAAAGACTGAGCACAAGACAGAGGTTGCACTCATGTCCACGCACTAAGCTTTGAATACTTGGCAGTGGGAGAGGGGCTGAGCTCCAATGCATCCCTTTTTGAAGCCAGGAGTTTTCAGCACTATAAACACCTTTTTCACAGCAGCCCCAGTTGCTGGTTAGAACATGTGTGCATTTTTTAAAAATGTGGGATGAGTATGATACTTTGGTGGATGTCCCCAAAAAGCATCCGGGGGGGGGGGTGTGCAGCAGTGCGAGTAGGTACACCTCCTACCTCTGCCCTGTAAATTCAAGCATGACTGAGGGGCCCTCCCAAAATGCCCTTTGGACCTGCTGACACCAGCCTGATGGGCCCTCTTAAGTAAGCTTTCAACTGGTGGCAGGTATGGACAATAGCATTCAGCCTGGCACTGAGCAATACCAGGTGAAGTAGTAGCAGTGAAGGCACCTTCATTACCTCAGCATACTTCTGAGTCCTGATGTTGCAGGACTTAGAAACTTCCCAGGGTCATGAAGGTGATGGCTTGGCTTGGCACAGCTTCTCAGTGCTGGACTGTGCACTGACCTCCTAAATAGGAGAAAAGGGGATGCCAACCACCAGCATCAGCTACAGTGGCACCTTCTGTGGATTCTGGGCCATGCCAGGTGCCAATACCAGGCTAGAAACTTGCCTTGATACCTGGGTACCCACCTGCCAACTGTTGTCATTGTTGCTTAGCTCTCTGTGATCCCTACAACCTCATTTCTAGCCTGGCTCGTCTTCTTTCTGGAGCCAGGCTTCTTTCACTTGTCTACTCACTTGTCACTTGAAGCTCATCAATACCTTCTTAGGATCTATAAGCTGCCTCATCCAGAGCTTAATATTTTCAACAGTAATGGCAGTGGCTCTCCAGGAGTTTTGGCAGGGAGATTTCCGATGCTGCCTGGGACCTGGCACATGAAAGCAGGTGTGCCCAAGAAAGCTACAGCCACCCCACTCTTAGTCCCCCAGCAATTTCACTCCAGTTCTAATTTCTGCCTTGATCCTGCCTTACCAGCTCTCATGTGCCTGTACAGAGTCCCCTCTTGCATTCAAGCAAACAGCTATTCCCCATTTGGCAACATCTTGGTTTCGATCCTCAAGGCTGAGCTTCAGATACTGCTACTGCTGCTTCCCCCGGTCTTGCTTCTTGATTCACTTTGCTTATTTCTCCAGTTTGATCCCCTCAGTCAAACACATAATCTTATTTTCAGTGTACCCTTCCAGCTATTTGCTTATCACACAGTGTGGCTGCTTTTCATATCTAACTCCAGCTTCAATGCTTTGCCATAGTTTCAGAGGCATGCAATCATGGCTGCGTCCCTTGAAGCAGTTAAAAGTAGGTGCTGCCTCTTTGCCCAGGATTTTGGAAGCAGATATAGTAAAATATGGGTCTGCCTCATTTAATCAGTGTTGCTCCTTTTTACTGTCTCATTTCATTGGGGAGACATTAGCCCATCAACACTCTAACCATCTGTCAGTTTATAAGGGTCTATTTCTCCTGTAATTAGTGATCTAGCCTCTGGGACACACACAGATATTGCGCTTGCAGCCATCATGATGGTGGAGTGCATGTGGGAGAGAACAATCATCTTAAACTAGAGTGACAGCTGACAGAGACCAAATCATCAAGGAAAGCCAGCATTTGTTCAACTAAATCCCCAAATAAAAGTGTGTGTGGTTTTTAAATGAAGCACATGAAGAAGTATTTGCAGAGGAATCAGTTATGGAGGCACAGGAGCACCCCTGAGACAACAATTTTGCTGGCATTTGTTTATAGGATTGATATTCTATCATTTTTCAAATGAGCTTTGTCATATCCCTATGAGAAAGACTAGACTGAGGAAGACAGTGACTTGCCCACTGAACAAACATCTAAGCAGAATCAATCTGGGTTTTCTAGCCTCTGCACTATACCGTTTCTGGTTCCATTTTCAACTTAGAAATATATAATTGCATTCATAATACAATCAAGAGTTGCATATTTGTGTTAACTCTAGATGTGTCAGTGACATTTAATTCTTTCCTTGGGAAACCACCTTTACTAGGTCTTATCTACTACTGGGGTGTCAGAATGTGGCAAGTGAAATATACATGTGCAAGTACTGTAGGTAAATCCAGGGACTTATCATTAAAGTTATCAAGCCTGCAGTAATTTTAGTTTACTAATGTCTATCCTTTTGTAATTTGAAATCAATGTAAATATATTTGTATAGTTTTCTCCCAATATATTGGTACTTTTTAGGATAGGATGGCCCGGTGCCAAAGGCCTTTAGCAAACTATACCTGCCTCTTCTACAGTAAAAATCTATTAAAGGTAATACCTGTTCTCTTTTGCATCTGGCTATACTAAGGAAGTGGAAGCCTGCAACTGATTAACCACATATACTACAATATTAGAGATCTATTTCACTTATTATATTGAGGCTTTCTTTTTATTTATTATTAGAAGAGTAATAAAACTGTTGCAGATTAAGGTTTATCTGACCACACTTGACCAGAATAGACTGCAAGCTATAAGCAGTATCATTCCTTAATGTTAAGATTTATATAAAATCAACAACTCAACAAATCAATGACTTAGGCCACAATCCAAAACATGCTTAGACTGAAAGCAGGTCCTACAATGTTGGCTGAGAGTTGTAGGATTTTTTCTGTCTTTGCATGCATAGGATGCCACCCTTAGTAGCATTTCAGTCAGTTATTTCCCCCTCCATACAATGGGTTTTAGCTAATGGCTGTTGTTTATTCCAGCAAAGATAACCGTGCCTAATTTACAACCAAGTCTACCTTTGTTAATCAGAACTGATTCCACAGCAATCCTGTCCTATCCTGAGTGAGCCTCATTAAGCTTAATAAAATTTACTTTTGAATATACACATAGAATTGCACTGCAAGGATACAATCCGTATACAACCGTACATGGAAGAAGCACTACTGAATTTAGGAGAGTTTACTTTGGAGCAAACATGCAAAGAATCATCCTGTAAACTTTACAGCACAATCTTATAAATGATTGCTAAAAAGAAATGTCAATTAATGCAGCTTATTCCTAGGTAAGTGGATATACGATAGCAACCGATCTATTTTATTTTGTTTAAACGACATTTATTTCGATCACTTTCCATCAGTGTTTCCATGGCAGTTTACAAAAGCAAACACACCGAACTGCAGCTGCAATTTCACAGCATCACCTATATCTGTGTTTAAAAAAAAAAGTTGGTATTGCTACCGCTTGCGAATCCTCCTTCCTCCAGTGATGTGTTTTATCCCAAGGCGGCCACCGTAAGAAAGAAGGCAGGGCGAAGCTGACGCGAACTGGCGGAAGTGACAGAATGCAAGGGCGAGCGAATACTCATACTAAAAAAAGTTACCGTGCGCATGCGTTGTTTGCTTACGCGAATCGTGGGTGGGGTCACCTAGTCTGGGCGCGAGTTCTGGAGTTGGCGCGGTAGTAGCGCGCTCTTTTTCCAGTCTGAGTCTCTCCTTCCTTCGGCTCTGAAAGGCGGCCATGAGCCTGTGGGTGGACAAATATCGGCCGAGCTCGCTCAGCAAAGTGGATTATCACCGTGATCAGGCGGCGCAGTTGCGCAACTTGGTGAGAGGTGGTAGCTGCTCAGTGGGCGGGAGGAGCAGATAGCACTCGCATTTCCTTCTGCAGTCTGTGTATGCTCGTGTGTACTTCTCTTCCCTCTTGTTACTTCCTCATTCCAGGACTTAGCAGTCTCTTTAGAAACCGTTGTAGCTTGATGGGTTTCCTCTGTTACTCTCCAGATTTTTGAGAGTATTTTGCTTTCCGGTATCTTTTCTTCTTTCTTGCCTCAGTGGCAGAGTGCGGTCCCAAAGTCTGATTTTCAAAGCCAGGGCCGAGTTTTGGAAGTTATCCGTGGCAAACAAGACGAAGTGATTCTGAGCACATGAAGAGTGTGCAAACTCACTTGGTTAACTAAAGATCCTCTTGATACCTGTGATGGTGACTCCGGATAGTGAAGTTGCTGCGTTGTGTGGTTGCTCTTGAATAGAAATGAGAGGGAATAAGAGCATAAGAAAGGTCATGCTGGATAAGACCAAACATCCATTTAGTTCTGTACATGTGGCAAACCACTTGTACACAGGATTGTTCAAGCAGGATGGGTGCAAGACCTCCACTCGCCCAAGCACTTCAGCAACTACTAGGCACCTCAGTTACATCCTTCACCAGTTAATAAACTTAGATGAAAAACACACATGCACTTTTTATGTTATTATTTGACATTCCAGGACTCAATCCTGACTTAAAAACAGTTACAGCTTTCACTTCCCACATCCTTTGCAATAGAAAAATCAAAGCATGCTAATGGCCAGGGAATGCTGAGATTCGTAAATTTTTTTCTGTCTCATCTTGCATAGGGTAGGTCCCTTATATAGATTAGCACAGGTGTGGTGGCATAAACTTTAGTTCTTGAACTCAGTATATGCAGCCCAAGAAGGGTGTTTTCTGATGGTGGGTATAGTGCCACACCCACTGGAAGACTATTTCTCAGATGCAAGAAGAGTATCTTTAATAGACACATAATATTCATGTCTTTATGTATGTTTTTTTATATATAAAAATAGTGTGGCACAAAGGCTATGAAATACAGGTTGCAACATTTCTAGGCAATGTTTGAAATGCTATACAAAGTAAGCATCTCTGGGTAGTGCTGCAGTAGGCTGCTGATTCAAATCCTGTAACCAAGGGCAATGTACTTGTGGACCTATATTTGTTGGACTGCAACTTCCATCAGCCCTATTCAGCATCACCAATGGTGAGGAATTATGGGAGTTGCAGTCCAGCAGCATCTGGACACCAACATCTTTGGTGTATTCATTGGACTAAATTGACTGATGCTCTAAGTTTCTATGTTCGTGACAATCAGAACTGGTATTATTATTATTATTATTATTATTATTATTATTATTATTATTATTATAACATTTCTATGCCGCCCCTTGCCGAAGCCTCGGGGCAGCTTACAACACAATAAAATACATTGAAATACAATAGAACATAATAAATTACCATTAAATACACAAATACAAAAAATACATTGAGATACAAACATAATAATATAAAATTAAAATTAACAGTATAAAATAAGTAAATAAAGAATATAGGAGGAGAAAAGAGAAGGAAGAAGAAGTTGCCCAGGCCAGATCATATGTTTTAACAATTAAAATGATGTTTAAATAAAAAGGTCTTTACCTGGCGCTGAAAAACCAGTAACGACGGTGCCAGGCGGCCCTCTTTGGGGAGTGAATTCCATAGGTTGGGCGCCACCACAGAGAAAGCCCTCCTCCGAGTACCTACTCTCCTAATTTTTTTCATGGAGGGTTCCCGGAGAAGGGGCTCTCCCGCAGATCTCAAGGGGCGGTCGGGCATATACGGATGTAAGCGCTCGTTTAGGTAGCCAGGACCCAAGCCGTTTAGGGCTTTATAGGTCGTAACCAACACCTTGAATTGGGCCCGGGCTTCAATGGGAAGCCAGTGAAGCTGACGGAGGACTGTTGCTTCTTCTGTGGTGCATGGCTCTTGGGTAGGTTCAAGCTTTTGTTTGTTTCTCCCCAGCAATCACTGTTAATTCCAGAGCAAAAATAAGTGCCCATGCTCAAATTCTAATTGAGTTTAAGCATTGCTAACTTGGTGGACTGTACCTAATGACCTACATTAATTAATTATTTGTAGTATGATGGAAGAAATTTCTTTGGAATGTACTTTTTTCAAAACATCCCTAGGAAGCAAACATCACACTTCCAGGGTGGCTGGATTGTGAAGCTTTGCCTTTTGTGGCTTGATTTGAACTAAAGCTCTGTCTGTGCAATGTTATCTTAAGAAGCATTTCTGAGCATTTGTAGTTATGATCTTCCATCACCCTTTTTAGAATTCAAGAGTAGGAGGTAAGCCCTTCTAGACAGGTTTAAGCCTCTAGCACCTCATGTTGCAGACGGACATTAATTACTCTCCCTCACCCTAGATAGTTTTGCTCAGTTGAAGTCTTGTTTATAAAGAAGTGATTTATTCCAGGATAACTGTCTATTTATCTCTAGCTTGGTGTCATCTATAGAACTGCTTGCTAGGCCTTTCATGAAATGGGAACACCTTGTATATTCCTACCATACAACTGCACTGTTGTGAATTTTATTACAAAGAGAGGTCACTTTGGGGTTAAAGTAAATCATCTGGTATAGATGTCAAGTTTTAGCTCTTAGGATCCAAGGCAGAGCTAGTTCTGGAATGCAAGATCATGCTATCTTAAATTAGTGGATCTAGATAAAGGAGCCCAGCTGTAAGAGATGTACATAGTTTGGCAGATTGGACCAAAATATCTATGGTAGGCTTCCTATGACTTGGTACCTGCATCATACAGATATAAAACAGAGATCAAGAATAGTGCCTGGACTCCTTGGTTGGTTAGGGCCAAGATATGAGTTTTATAGCCCCTATACCTTTATTCTGATGTAAATCTTAGTGGGAATGTAGGAGGCTGCCTCATACTAAATCAGACCATTGTTTCATCTTGCTTAGTATTGTAGATTTAGCAACCATTCAAATTGGGAGTCTTTCCCAGCCTTACTTGGCTGGAAATGGCACATACAAAAATGGGCTCTATTTCTGCTTCCAGCTGAGGCTGTCTAGGCTTGCAGCAAACTTTTGTGAGTTTTGTGAGTATTGATGTTACAAGAAGATAATACTATCTTTATGTTCTTCAAGGTTCTCTTCAACTTTTCTTTATAGTATTTGGTGGTTGTTGGTCTTATGCAGATATTTCATCACAGGGACAATTTACTTTCTGCTTTGGGCTGTATTCCCAAACCAGCTAATTCCAAAAACAAACAAGCAAAACAAACAAAACCAGCATGCATGTACAAGGGGCCTCTTTGCCTCCCACCATACACTGGCACTTTTTTTTACAGTATCCTATCTTCTTCCACTGTCTCTCTCCTTCTTTGTCCACTCTTAATTGAAAGAGAAATATTAGTAGCCTTCAAAAGGCAGAACAACATGAAGGACTGTTAAACTATAAGTGTTCTGTAGTTTTACAATGGTGCTATTTCCAGAATTGAAATGAACCCTAATTGGAACTAATGGGTCCTTTATAATTTCTCCAAAGCAGCCTTCCCAGTCTGGTGCATTCCAGATGTGTTGGACTTCAACTCCCTTAAGCCTGAACCAATTATAAATCTATAATTTTTGCTGTATTCTCTTTGGGCAGGTTCAGTGTGGTGACTTTCCTCATCTGTTAGTGTACGGACCATCAGGAGCTGGGAAAAAGACCAGAATAATGTGCCTGCTGAGAGAACTGTATGGCTCTGGAGTAGAGAAGCTGCGCATTGAACATCAGAGTATAACAGTAAGATTCTCTCTCATGAACTTTTAAAAAGTAGCAAATAGAAGGTGAGGGTGCTTTTTGAAGGACAATCTAAGCATGGTCTGGTTCTGTATTATTGGATACTTTACCTGAGAATGTCAACAAAATGCTTTGGTTGGGTTTGGGGATCCAGTATTTGCTTGCCCCCATGGCTAGTTACAGAGTCAGAAGGAAAGTCAGAAATGGAATGGCCCAAGCAGGCCATAGTGCATCCTTTTCTGAAGAAATGTCTTCCTACTCTAAGCTAAATGACTTTTTCCTGCTCTCACTGGACCTGAGCCTCTGAACTTTACCATCTCCGTCACATTCTTCCAGATGTGCTTCAGTTTTTCAATGTCCTTCTCAAAGTGCAGTACCCAAGAGTAAGGGCAGTGGTCCAGATACAGCCTGAGCAGTGCACAACAGAGTGGAATCCATATTTATGGTGATCTGGATTCTACATTTCAGTTAATGTAACCAAAGATTGTATTGACCAATGGCTCTATTCTCTTCTGAGACATTTCTAGTACATTAGTTTGTAGACTTTCTGCACTATACAATCACTTCTTGGCAAATCAGGACCAAGGATATGCCTGTTATGTGATCACAGAAATAGTTCTGTCTAGCATATAGCTTAGATTTTCTGTTGTCTTAAACTATATCAAGAATGAGTGCCAAGAAACTAATGTGTCTTTATTGCAGTCCTTACTTACTAATTACTACTGCTTTCTCACATAACAGTTATAACTTGATAAGATGTATTTCTGAAGTGATGTTTCCAAAAATCAGAATTAGCTCTTTGCAGAGTTAGCAGCTTGGGGAGTAAAACAGCCAGTGGAAAAATCTAAACATAGATCTTCTATCTGTTCAGTTCAAAATTCCTTTTTGGAAAGTCTTGCATTTGAATTGGCAAATTGCAAAAAGCATACCAGTATTTAGTTATTGTCAGGGCTCTTGGGGAATGCTATTTGAGCTTTCCAACACATGATGCAACTCCACTTTTTTGTTTTATTCTCTTTTTTATTGCCACATAGCCACAGGTCTTCACTGCAATTTTTTTTTAAAAATTACCTTTTTGAATTTGAATTAACCTTTAAACTTAACGTGATAAGCCATTATACGAACTTGTGGTTCCTGAAGATCTTCCTTTTTACATAACGTTGATGCAAAAAGTAGGAAGTAGGTCTTGATGCCCTAAGAACAGTTTTAAGTGGAACTTTCCTTTCTTTGGAACACAGGCTGTTGAACCTGCAGACCATTTCTATAGCAGTGATGACAACCTTTTTTCAGCCTGAGGGCTGAATGCAATTTCAGAGAAGCTCTCAGTAACCAGATTTTAGCACTTTAAAAAAGTCCAGCTAAAATAAAACAGAAAGATGATAATTCATGTTGTTATAAAACACCTTAATGAGTGATTTGAAGTGGATGAGATCTGTAATCATCATTGTAAGAAGCGATATACTTGAAAGTCTTGCTGTACCTCTGATGAATGTTTTTAGAATAATGTGTAGTGTTCTAATGATTCATTTTTTAAATTAGAATTACCCAAGCAATTGTTTTCTTTTACAGGGATTTTACTTAGATTTTCAGTTTTGCCTTCCTTCCTTCCTCCCTCCTTTCCTATATTTTGACCGAGGGCTTGAGTGTACCAGCAATGGACTGTTAACTACTGATGCACTAGCTTAGGAAGAGCATGTGTCCTCCTTTAGAAAAAGTTTCTGAACTTCCCTATCAAGAACTAGCCTCTGGCCAGCAAACTGAGCAGGTCTCATAGGCTCTCCCAGCTCTCCACTCCTAGACATGGAGAAATACAAGACATGGTCAAATGTCTTGTATTTCTATTTAAATTATAATAGTAACTTCCAAATTTGCTTCTATACATTTATAAGAGCACATGCATATTTTATACAAATCTATGTACGCTTTCTTTTTTAGTGATATATTTCCTCTTTGCTGGCAGCATGTAAGTGGGCCACCTTTTTCATCTCTTGCCTTCTAAGTAGTTCAGAATACATTTCCAATGGGGAATTTGAACCCATGGTGTTATCCATTTCCTGAGCTCCAGTCCACTTTTTCATTCATGCTGCTTCTAACCATTTCTGGAGTGCAATATGACCTGTGTGCTGATCAACATGCCCTCCCCAGCATAAGTGATATAGGATTGCACCCTAAGGCATTGTATGCATATTTAGACTGGAAGATGGCCTACAACTCCCAGTATGCTAGTTGAGGAATGCTGGGAACTGCAGGACTTTTTCTGTCAAAATGTGCATAAAGGACTGCCCTCTAAATTAATTTAAATGGTTTCATGCAGGACAAGTAGTGGTGTGTCGTTTTTGAAATTCATATTCTAGCTCTAGGAATATTCACTAATGCCAGTTCAATCTCTCTGGCATTTTGTTTAATACTTTTTTTCAGGCACCTTCTAAAAAGAAAATTGAAATTAGCACTATTGCAAGCAACTATCATCTTGAAGTTAACCCAAGGTAGGTTTGCAGTCAACTCACATTATCTGGTAAAAGACTGTGGCATCATATATTTTCAATTTTAGTTCTTAAAGAACCAAAATAAATGTTCAAGGAATTTTTTCCCTAGACAATGATAAAGAGCTTTTCAAAAGTAGACATTTTTGCATTAATGTGTTTTCTTTATAACAAGATTTTGCAGGCAGTATTTGAAAAATGCTGACCTTAGTGATTCTTTTGGTTGTGGTGTAATTAAAAACATTACCATCTGTACATGCATTTCCACTGTCTAGCAGCATGTTCAGATTTGGAGCTATGCATGTGCACAGGTTAGCAAATGTCCGGGCAGGGTGATGTGTGGCAGTGCCATGATTCAGTGGGAATTAGGCCCAGGTAAGAGTATATGATTGTAACCTCCGAAATATAAAGCCAAACCTCTACCAGTCAAGCCTAATTATCATTGCTACCCTTACTGGTATACTGGTACACTGCATTTTTATCCTGCCTTTTTTCCTAACCTGCAGAATGAGTAGGAACTAGAATCTGAATCTCCCACATCCCCAATCCAACATTCTACCTACCACACTGGCTCTCACACATGGCTTCTGTTTCCATTTTGTCAAAGAAGAAGTCTGGACCTGGAGCCAACGAAGGCCTCCCCTGTTTGTTTCCTCAGGAAGCCATTTGCTGACTTGGCATGGACAGGATTCACTGGGATGGTCTCAAACTGCTGTGAGGTTCTTCCTGCACAGATCAGGACATGAATGGGCTTATTCACTCATGTCTTTATGTATGTGGTTCAATAACTCAGTACTACTAACTATTGCTGAATATTACATGATTATAAGGTTACAGGGCCCTGATTTGGAGATAAGCAGATTTTACAAAGGCAGCAAATTCATTTATCAAACAATTTAGGTTCACATTTCTGTTTGTTACACGACGAGGCAAATGAACAAAGTGGCGATTGTTCCTATTTTGAATAAACACCTGCTAGAAATGGGAAACTTTGAATTTCATCTGTGGTAGTATGATTATTTTTAAAAAGCCTGGTATAAAAAAATCCTCAAGGTCTATTCCTGGATGTATTTTTGAGTGAACTTCTGAACTTCTTTCAGTGATGCTGGAAGCAATGACCGGGTGGTAATTCAGGAATTATTGAAGACAGTAGCACAGACGCAGCAACTTGAGACAAGCACTCAACGAGATTTTAAAGGTCTGTAAATGGAGGAAAATAAACTTTAATATGTTGCTCAAGATCAAACATGTACTTTGAATATAGTGAATTCTTTGTTTCATAAATTCATTTTATGTTCACTCCAGAGTTGAAGAATTTATGGACATTTTCAAGTTGTAAGAAAAGAAATCTTTTTTTTCATCCCAAGCAGAAATTTTGGTATTCTTGACATATACGTTGACTTAACATTTGTAATCTGAATCATTGTCTGAAATTTCTATAGCTGTTTGTTCTTTGGATTTTCTGCCTGAGTTTAGAATTCAGCAAATGGAAAGTTTCAGTGAACAAAGGGGGAGCCTGTATTCTTCTCACTTGTATTCTGCATGCATTCTCAAGCATTCTGCAGAGCTGTTCACTTCATCCAGAAGAAAAGGGGAATCTGAGAACAGTTATAGGCTGTGTTATCAGAAGGCTTTTTGATAATATACTAGGCAGTCGTGATGAATTAAAAAAGCATCCATTAAAATGACCACAAAAAAGAGAGCCCGCCTTCCAAGTCGGTAGTGATATCTCTGAAGAATGTGAACTTCATTAACTCAAGTGTTTCTTCAGGGGCTAGATGTATCCAAAGGTATTCAGAGATCTCTGAAGAATGTGAATGTTGTTAACTCAAGTGCAGCAACAAAATCACAATCTAGTCCAATAAAGTGCAGTTGATCCTTGACATTCACAGAGCTGATTATTTGCAAGTTTGCCATCAATAATTAAATGGGAATCTTTTGTGAGTTTTCTGGCCTCCTGCTCACTGCTGCACAGATAGCTGCAGGGGGAAAGCTCCCTTTCTTGGTTGCCACTGTGGCTGGCCTGACATTTGCTGCTGCCCCCCAGCGAGGGCAGGGCAGGCACTGGACTTGGGACTGGGTGTGTGGCCATGAGTGAGATTTGCGATGTAGGATGCGCTCCCCCAGGGCAGGCCCCGCTGTGGTGCATTGGGTCTCGTCCGAAGCTAAAGAATATTCAGACTGAGAAAGAGGTAATTGTAATGCATTTATGGGTACATGCATGATCAACAGTATTAAAAGTTAAGGGTTTTTTTGGTGGGGGCATATAGTTATGGTTTTTCCACTTTTGCAGGGCTCCTGCACCCCTAACCTGGCAAATGTGGAGCACTGGCTGTATTTTAATGTCATTGCAGAATTTCAGCTTCCAAGAGCCTCACAATCTCAATCTGCCACCCTTGCAGGTTTATGTTGCGACACTAACCGTTCAATAAAGTGATAGTGTTATGGAGATAATGGTGGAGTAAATATAATTGCTTTTGTGCTGTAAATCTAACTATGCCCTTGCATGCATCCTTTTGCAGCCTTATATCCATAGTGAAGGCTCTGAAGCCAAATGCAGTTTTGGTACCAAACTCTCAACTGCCGTGCACTGTTTCTTGTTGCTGTACTTAATTTAGTGAACTTTGTGCTCTTCAGAGTTCAGTACAAGTATATTGAATATAGACCCTGAAGAAAGGGACTGAAGAAGAATGGGGAATGGGCCAAAATGTATTGGGCCTGTTATTAATAACCTAACATCTTGGGATATGGGTTGTCTTTTTGGTGGTTGACTTCCACCTTGAACTCACATCCCCAAGGTATGATTGCTACCTTTGAATCTTGGGTGTCAAGAAAGTTGGAGTCTTTGAGTTTGCTATGCAGTGATAAAAACACTGCTTGTACCTCATTTGAACCACCAATATTGTGTACCTCTTTCTTTGTAATAATTGAGCTTTCCTTTTTTATCATTCACGATCAGAAGTGATGTTCACGAGTTGTGGAATGTTTAATGATAGGGAAGTGATATTAGTGTCACCTATAACATGCATGCAGGCGGAGCATATTGAAACCATTTCTGTGTGTTCTTATCCTGCAAGCATCTATTTAAATGGGGGTAGGGGCAAAGGAGTGGAACCAAAATACAAAAATGATCAGCATAGCTTAAGGGTTTACTAGCAGTAGCTATGCCTTATAAGAGGCTTTTCAGCCTTTCAGAATGGGGAAAATTGTGCAGACATCAGGATGATGCAGGGAAATAGGATATGGTAACCTGGTGCCCCCCAGGTGGACTGGACTTGGTCTGTGGGGTTGAAGTTTGGCACCTATGATTTACCAGTTGCTGTAGGATTATACTATGGGGAAGCAGTTCCCAGATCTCTGCCTGCATGCAGGGAAGAAATCTTCTGCTGTTGGGAAAAAATCACTCATCTTGGCTCATTGTATTCAACTGAAAGTAGAAACCAAATTAGAATTGATTCTGCGAGTGTGACTCTGGAGTGACTTTGTATTTATATGTTTCTAGTGGTGCTGTTGACAGAAGTGGACAGACTTACCAAAGATGCCCAGCATGCATTGCGGCGAACCATGGAGAAGTATATGGCCACCTGCAGATTAATTCTTTGTTGCAATTCCACATCAAAAGTCATTGCACCTATCAGAAGCAGGTGCCTTGCAGTGCGAGTACCTGCCCCCAGCATTGATGATGTAGGTTTAAGATAAAAGCAAACACTTGTCCAGTTGACAGTTGTTGAGCAGTCATGTTTTACTTTGTAATGCTGCCTGTAACATGATTCCCTGACAGGGCCTCTTTAGACAGTCATTGGTCTAATTGGCACAATGGAGCAGCCTACTGCGGCTTATTTAACACTTGCATAACCCTTGGTTTGTGGGCTTGGATGATAAGACAAGATGTGACTTGAATATTCAAAGTGGCTGTTGGGGTACATCCTATCTAACTGTGACTTAAATAAGATGTGGTAGAGTAATTGAGTCTGCAAACCAGACGAGTGAGTGAAGAGAGACTGTTGGTACAAACTAGGTCACTATGCTCTCTGCGTGCACACAGTTCTTTCAAATTTGTTTCACATCAATTTCATTTTAAACCCCCAGAGGTGTGGGTTGCAAACAATTGGATATTTACTTAGCAAGGCTTGGGATTGGAGGGCAGGATCAAGAAATTAGCTGGATACTAGTGTTGGAGGGAGGAAACTAGAATAGAAGCTTTGTTACCCTTTGTTACTGGCAGTTCTTTCCCAGTCCACTCTCGATTTCCTTTTCTAACTGGGATCTCCACCATTGTTGACTCCTTCAGCCATTTTGGGTAGTTCTGATGTGTTTGAATCTTCGAAAAGGGAACTGTAATGCAGAGTGATGAATTGTCCTCCTGAATTTCTAGATCTGCAATGTATTGTCCAGTGTTTGCAAGAAGGAGGGTCTATCTCTTCCTCAAGAACTGGCTCGGAGGATTGCAGAAAAGTCTGGCCGGAATCTCCGAAAGGCACTTCTAATGTGTGAGGCCTGCAGAGTACAACAGTAAGTCAAGAAGACTTGGGAATTGAGGAGGTCCTTTCATCCACGAGGTGTTTTTAGCATTTTTCCCTGCTTATATTGCAGGCTTCCTTTCACCCCTGATCAAGACATTTCTGAGACTGACTGGGAAGTATATGTGAGAGAGACAGCAAATGCCATTGTTAGTCAGCAGACTCCGCAGAGGTAAGTGATCATTCCAGGCGGCAGTTGGTTTTGTGAATGAAAACATATAACTTACACATTTTTACTGGTTAAAATGGATGGCAGCATTTTATTTGATTATTTGTATTATTTCTGTGGCACAAAGTATTAAAAGAAACTCTGAACTGATTACATATAAAGACTTACTGGTCCTGTTCACATGTCACAAGAAGTCATTGTGACTTTTTGCCCTTGTTGGTCTGTCGTGTTTTCAGAACCTAGTCATGGAATTTTAGCGTGCCATTTTTGACTTCTGGGAAAAGTGGAAAGAAACGTTGCCTTGTTGTATGTTTTCCATGCTTCTCTGCAACTTGTCGTGCTATCTGGATCAGGTGGGGTTCATTGTTCCATTTGTGGTGGAAAAAGCACACCCCCCTAGAGTAGGAGTCCTCAAACTTTTCCACCAGGGAGCCAGTTGAAAGCTGCTGGGGCTGGGTACGGGCCGGAAAGGTGGTGCCAGTGGTGTGTGTGGGCATGCGCACTGAGGCAGGGGTGGGACGCGTGACGAGGTGAGGCAAGGCATGGGTGGGCACACGCTGCGAGGCAGGCGCACGAGGCAGCAGCTTTCTCACTTGGAAATTGTTTTCTCCGAGCAAGCAAACTGCTTGTTTTCTCCAAGTGAGCAAACCACGTGGGGTGAGGTGAGCGGCGGTGGGTGTGGGCATGGTGGGTCTAAATAGGCATGGCGGGCCAGATCCAGTCCCTGGGCCTTAGTTTGAGAACCCATGCCCTAGAGCCTCTAGTTATTCAATCTTCAATCTCACAGTCTCCTAATAATGTACATGTCAAGACTTGCTCTGTTCCTGTTAGCTGAATGCTCTACCTCCCATCCGTTTCCTTTCTGCAAGAGGGAGAAAATGGGACACACATGGGGAGAGAAGGCATGAATCTCAGCGGCTGGGGCATGCTGAAAGTTGTAGGACCCCTTTCTGGCTAAATATGTGTAAGATTGCATACCTCATTATCCAACATTCCGGCTTTCTGAGTTACCTCTATTACACTGCTTGGAGATTCACATCAAACCTTACTCCTCTCTTCACCTCTCTTTTCTCATTTGCCTCCACATCACCTGTAGACATGGCCTGGATTGACATAAATCCCTCCTGCCCTAAATTGAAAGCAGTGGGGTAGGTTTGCTAAGAGTGCCACCTGCACTATGCTCATCTGCAAGTTTATGCACGTTTGTTCAGATGAAGTTTCTTAGTATGAAGTAGCACTTATTTGTGTTTTTTGCAGAGGTCTTAGAGTGGAAGAAGCACCGCTGGGTGGTGCAGAGGGTTCCAAAAGTTAGTTTGACTAAGGACTGGGACTCAGGAGAATCTGGGGCTCTGGTCCCCACTTGGCCATTAACTTCATTTCAGGCCAGTCACTGACTTGCCACTTAGCCTACCTCACAGAGTTGTGACAATAAAAAGGAGAACGGGAGGACCATTTAAGCTGCCTTGGATTCCTTGGAAGAGAAAAGGAAGCAAGGTGGAAATATGAAGACCATATTAATGAAAGTCAGAAAGTGTGGGTGGAAGGAGAAGAGATGAATGGTAAAAGTGCAGACTTGCCTGTGTGTGAGAGAGGGAAAGAACGAGGAAGAAGGAAGAGGAGGGGGATAAATGAAGGAAGTGATAGAAGACAGGGCAGGAAAGAAAAAGGCTCTTGTTTGATGTGAGTGGAAAACAGCTGTGAAGTTCTCTGGGGTGCCATTCTGCTCCACAGAACAAACCTGTCCCTGCCTACTCATAAGTAGGTCCAATTGAGTTAAGTGGAATTTTCTTTCAGGTAAATCCGCAAAGGTTGCTACCTTCATTCCAGTAAGCTACAGGCAATGGGCCTAGGCAGTGTTTGGGATTCACTGCACCCATTTTGGTGTTTCACTGCTGTGCCCCTCTTGAGATTTTCTTGGCCAAAGGCTGTCTCCACTTTGTCTGTCTCCTTTTTGAAGGGAGTCCCATCCATCTTGAATAAGGAATCACTGGCTGAATTTGATGAGTAGTATAGCAGATGGAGGATGGACAGAAATGAAGCCCTCCACATACACTTTACTAATTTACTGCTATTTGTTGCACCTACGCGGGAAGCAGGTGGTCTGCAGTTTATGGCTTTGTCTTTTCTCCCTTCCCTGATCTTTTGTTTTCACTCTTTGTAAGGCTGTGGTGAAATTCATTTTACCAAATAGCTGAGCTAAGTAGAGTCTTGGTATTTTTTCCACTAAGGAAGTTGTTGATGGGATATAATGGGTAAAACAACTTGCTGTGATATTAACAGTTCTCATCTCCAGTATTCTCAGAACTGCTGAATTGACTCAAGCTATTGTAAAACAAACTTGCTTGCTCAGTGCAATGAAGTATTTCCAGCTGGAAGTGATGAGGGCAGCTTTTTTTTGTTTGCTTGTGCAGTGCTGTGAAACTTTTTCCCCCTTTCAGCTATGAAGTGCAGTGGTGTTGGCACTAATTCATTGCTGTTCTCCTGTTATTATGGCTGCCAAACATCTGTCTGGGTTTAGATGCATTGCATTGACTGACAAAGAATGACAGCCTGTCGTGGCAGATTTGGAGCATTCCTGCTGTGACTGGAGGATGTTGCCAATCACCTCTTTTGCTGTTGCCCTCATTAAATCTTCATAGCAGCTTTCACTAGTTTCCAGTATGGATGCCATTATAAATGTTTCTTTCTAGAAGTGTGCAACACAGGATCAAGTTTCAAACACGGTTTGCCTTCTAAGCCCTTTTTTCAATGTGAACTTTCTGTATATGTGCCTTGGTACAGGAAAAATAGGTGACAGCTTAGAACTGCCTGGGTTGTATCTTATGGGGCAGTGCTTTCAGTAGGAGGGAGCCTCTGAAGCAGATTTGGGAAGTGTGCAGTGAAGAGAGGATGAGGAAGCCCAGTCAGGTAATCCAACCCCTAAGATGCTCTTCATGTTTTGAAGAGCTGCAGAGTTTTCTCAAAAAAGTGTGAGCTTTTTTGGGTCAGTTCATAGTCTAAATGTTTTTAGACTGTTCTTCAAAATAATTATTAGGGCAGTATATGAAGATCAAATAGTGTGGTGTCAGCACCAGCCACAAGCTTCTTAGTGACCGCTGGTGCCACTTTAATTGTGACACACCTGTCTCTGCCCCCACTCACATGGAAGCCCTCAGAAGTGTGTTTGTTGGGTGTTTAGTCACCTTAATCTTTAGCTGTATACAGGTCCCTTGCACTATGGACCCTAAAATCAGGCCTCATACTTAGGTCACTCTGTCTCCCTTAGGTAACTAGGCTGCCTCACATCCAGAATTGACAGAAGGTGTTCAGCTTCTTTCCCTCAGGCTTGCTTTCCTAATCCTGCAGAGACACAATCACAATTTATTAATACCTTTCTATGTAGAGTGCAAGTAAACCAAACACTTTTGAAAGCTGTTACACAAATTTAACTCACAGTGATTAAAGGCTGTTGAATTAAAACTTTGTATGATGAAATATATTTTAAATTTAGATTACTTGACCTGTTAATGTTTTATGATTTTCTTCTAATAGGCTACTTGAGGTTCGTGGGCGACTTTATGAACTCTTGACCCATTGCATTCCTCCAGAGATTATAATGAAGGTAACTAATGTCATGGCTTTTAATTTGTTCAGTAACAGAGGCTAGGATTAAAGGGGACTGAGAAGGCTGTGAGGAAGGAGAATTAATACTGTTTGTTAATCATTCATGGCATTCTGTATGGTATGGATCCCATTCATAATTCTTAGAATGGAAGGAAGAATTCTAGGACTATATTGGCCTTTAAACATGATACGTATTGGAGCTATCGTTGAATGCCAGTGTTTTCCTCATGAAGTGGTTTTGTGGATTCTTGAGTTCCTGTAATACCTATAAAGAGATGTTGAACCTGTTTAAGCCTAAGCACTCAAACTCAGATTCAGAGAAGCTCTTAGGAAAGGCATTCCAGTAATAGGCAACACAGAACGCAAAAGGGGTGGAGCAAAGGCACAGGTGGATCAAAAGTACCACTACAGAAGCTTAACGCTCTTATTGCCAGTAACTAAACTTTAGGAGAGCATTTCAACACACACACACAAGCTGGGAAACCAGGAGGTGACAGCAGCTGGGGGAAAGGACTGATAAGTGGTAGGCTGTGTGGCTGTCTGGGAATGGAGGTCCCGGAAGGCAAAGCAGAAGTCTCAAATCAGAGATGCATAACTTCAGGACTGGGGCCAAATCTGGTTCTCTGGGATGCCCTAGAAGACCTTATCCTTTCTCCCAGCATGGCCCCCTTCCCTGAATCACTGATAGGTTGGTGGTTTTCTACCTTCAGTTTAATTCTTCCCCCTTTCTAAAAGGTTAAAGTGCTTTTCCTAAGTGCCTGCAATAAGAACTTTAGAATACTTCTTGTTGTTGTTATTCTATTTATTGCATTTATATACCACCCCAATAGCCCAGAGGGCTCTCTGGGTGATTTACAAACATTAAAACCCCAAATACAGTATCCAATCCTAAACAAATAAATTGGCTACACCATGACTGTGTATAAAATAACATGGTTAAAATGAATTAAATGCATAAATATACAATTAAAATTAATTAACTTTAAACTATTCGTTAAATAAAAAGGTCTTGACCTGGCGCCAAAAAGCATATAATGACGGTGCCTGGCGGACCTCTCTAGGGAGTGCATTCCATATGCTGACCTTGGGAAGGAGATTGGGGAATGTAGCCCTTAAATGCTTCTCTGACATGACAATGGACCTTCAGGCTAAAGGGTGTGTACCCTCATCCTAGGTGAACCAGAGTTGTCCTGTGGCCCCAAGGTTCAGTGCCACTGACATTATTGTACAGGTGTAGGTTGTAGAATAGCTTAATTGTCTGATTATGAAATGCTGTTGCTTTTAGGGCCTTCTGTCTGAACTCCTGAACAACTGTGATGGGCAGCTGAAAGGAGAGGTGGTGCAGATGGCAGCTTTCTATGAACACCGACTACAGATGGGCAGCAAGGCTATTTATCACCTAGAAGCATTTGTGGCTAAATTCATGGCCGTCTATAAGAAGTTTATGGAAGATGGACTGGAAGCCATGGTGTTCTAATGTGCAGATTTGAACATTCAGATGTGATACTGAATGGCAGTAGTTTGTTCAGTATATCAAATTATGTTTGACAATAAAACAGGATGCGTTGATTTTCAGTTATTCTGCAGCTGTCGTTCATGACTTGCAAAGTAGTTGTGTGGGGTTGGGGGGAAGGGGTGGGCTTATTTGGAAAGGCTGCATTGGCATCAGGGCAGTATCCTGGCAGGTCTTCTGAAAAATAGTCCCCATGTTTTTTTTCCAGTGCCTCATGAAATGCTTCCACTGAGGCTTAGTCTCTGGAGTGCCCAAATATCTTCTCTTGAATGTATTTTACTGTGCAAGGGAGGATACTTTCTTTCTTAGTCTGAATTGAAGCTTGTTTACTTAGAAGGAATTCCTTTGAGTAACGTGCAACTTACTTCTTAGGAAGTTTGAGTCAGAAGTGCACTTGTCACAAGAGTAAGTTGTACTGAATACCGCAAGGCTTACTTCTGTAGAACCAGAAGGACAGAGCCAATTGTCATCTTTTTGAACTTAAATCTGATACCTAAAAATTAGTCCAGCTCTTCTCTTTGAAGCATTTCCCAGTGGAATGTGCAAGACCTGCTATGGGGTCGCATCATAACATCTCTTACTAGCAAAATCCAAAGGTTCTTGAAATAAATATTTCTGTGATGGTATCTGAGGATAAAATGGCCCAAGTTTGATGTTCAAAACTGAAGGAATTGACTTTAGCATGGATACAATCTTTGAAAATGGATATGGCCATTATCTATTATTTTGTGAACCATTTAAAGTATTTCTGGCAGAAAAGAATTAAGGATATCTTGTCAATTTTACTTTCCTGTAGACTTTATTGAAGTGCTCATCAATTTGTACATACAGATCTTGTTTTGCATTAGACCAGATATATCTAACTTGTTAAGCAACGAAAACACTCTTTGAGAGTACATTTCAGAGCATGTCCAGAAGAAAGCACTCTGGATAATGAGTGACCTGCAAAGCAAGTCCTGTGAAAAAATGTTTCAAAGAGCTGGTATGTTTAACCTGCAGAAGAGATGATTCAGGGGAAGCATGATAATGATCTTAAAAATATCTGAAGGGCTCTCACACTGAGAAGGAGCAGATGTTCTGTCTTGTGGTAGAGTGCAGGACTAAACAAATAGGTAGAAATTGCAGCTAATCTTTAGGAGAACCCTCTAACAATAAGAGATGCTTGACAGTGGAACAGACTGCTTTGGGGAGCAGTGGACTTGCCACTGAGTGTGTTGATTCCACTTGTGCATTGTTACTTTGCAAAACTGCTGTTCGTTTTTCATTGCCACCAGATGTGCTGGAGTGGCATTCTGGTTTGCAGCATTTGGTGGTAGGGTGTGTTTGTGAGTTCCAGAAGAAAAGCAGTGGAGTTCCTTGTTTTCTGGAAGTTTCTCAGCTCTGTATTAAGGCAAGCAAAGCCATTTTGGGAGTCTGCACTTGTCTGGGTTTGTTTGTTTGTGGAGTATATGTATATGTCGTTTAAACCAATGCATTTGTAATACAGAACTTGTGGCAGTAAACTGCAAGGAAATGTTTTCACTATGCAATGAAAACATTTTGAGCTTGCAGTTTTTTAACCGGAGAAAGCTGTAAGAGAAAATTTACTGTATGGTATAATGATGTCTTTGGATGATTTTGGGTTATTTGATCAATATCCTAGCTTATGTTTCAATAATTAAATTTTAGTGTCTAATTTAACCCTCCTCTGATCACTGGCAGGAGGGAGTAAAATAACCCTTTAATACACATACTGTATTTTTCGCTCTATAAGACGCACTTTTCCCCCCCTCAAAAGTAAGGGGAAATGTCTGTGCGTCTTACAGAGTGAATGTGTGTGTGCCCGACGCCCGGGACACTGCCGGCCCGCCTGCACCACGTGGCACCACCTGGCCGGCATGTGCTCGGCGCACCCTGCTCTGCCCCCCTCCTCTGGCACAGGTGAGAGCTGTTAATCACAGGTCGGTGTGTGTTTTCAAATGGCAACCTGTCTTTTAATGAAGCCCATGGGGAAGTGATGGGGAATGTGCCTGTGATTATCAGGAAACTTTCCATGGATCAGTTATCTGTTAGTTGATCAGACACATTTTTTTTTAGGATCAGTGGATATTTGAACAGCATTACCTTTGTGTATGAAGTTTATTCTTCAAAGGCTACTTAGTCCACTGTGTGTTTGATTTACCGTACAATATCTCATTTTTTTGTCAGAAGTTTTTTTCTATTATTACTAGTAGGGCAGCGTGGACATTACTGGCTTTTTTAGATTTGTTCTTGAATTGTCTGCAGCAGTTCTTGTATAACTGGTGTAGATTGTGGATTCCTTCAATAATTCCACTACTGACTAAGGAAGTGATGTCAGTGATTGTGAGCAACAGAGCTTCATAAATTCTGACTCTAGTGATGATGAGTTCTATGGGTTCAACGAAAACTAGAAGAGTACTCGAACTTTAAAGTCTCTCTTTTGTTAATGACAGTGATGATGGTTCTTAATGCCACTGCTGACTGCTGTTCACTTTACAAGGTTGAAATACGGTATTACTGTATTCTGTTATAGTTTATTAAATAGTTTAGTAAACCCATTTGATTCAGAATATTTTTCTTGCTTTCCTCCTCTAAAAACTAGGTGCGTCTTATGGTCAGGTGCGTCTTATAGAGCGAAAAATACGGTATATTTTAAATTCACCTAAAGCAAGGCAAGTTGCACCTAGAAATGGATTTTGATGTAAGTCTTTTGCCTTTGTTAAATTGATATGCATTGCACAGACTACTTCAAAGTATGTTTATTTAGAAGGATGTACCGTATTCACTCTTGGGAGTTTAGGATTGCAGCCTTAATTTCATGAAGTGATTTTAAAATGTACAATTGATAGAAGATAGGTAAGACGGAAACAGTGAGGTGGTGGCGCTATGATGCCCTCTGAGCAAGATTCTATTTTAGCTTCTTGTTAAATAGTTTCATTTCTCTTAAGATAAATAGAATGTGCTCTGCGAGTGATCATTTTATCAGCCTGAAATACTCCAGAGCAGGTAGAATGAAAATGAATGTTCAAATGGTTTTTACTTTAGGGAGATACAGAGTAGGAATAAACACAGTTCAAGATAATTAAACTCCCTCTCTTTTGGTGATAAATCAGTTAAACTGTACAATTTGAAAAAAAAAATCTTGTAGAGTCTCCTAACAGATTGTAAACATAGTGATGGGCTTAAGGTGTTCCGAGGAAGTCTTTTCACAGCACTGGCATGCATTTTTAGTTCAGAATCTAAATTTTTAAAAGCTAGATTGAGTTATCGTGGCATTACAGCGATTATTTATTTGGTTTTTAAAAGCACAGCCACTAGTCCCAAGCAGGAATCTGGGTGCTGCAGGGGCTTCGATCTAGCTAAAGGATAGCTTTATATATGCAACAGAATTGGATGGTACAATTTCAGACTGCAGGTGGAGAAACACCTTATTTTCACCATTCTGTAAGATGTAGCTTTGCGAGTAGAAAACAAGCACATCAGAGATGTGGGTGGAACTGGAGCCTTTCTCCATGAAAGTACAGGAGGTGTTGCATGGACAAGAGAATTCAAACACGCCTCTACCTCTTGCAGTTTGAAATGATTCAGCCCATTTTATCATACGTACATTCAGTCACCTATTAAGTCTTTCTCCAACCTGGATCCTTCTGGATATACAGCTCCTGATAGCCTAGCTGCTGTAAGTATGGGTCCGGGATAAAGTTGGTTGTGCTTGGAACATCTGGAGGGACCCAAATTGGAAAGGCTGTGCAGAGCTACAGGGTCATGCAGTGAGGGACAAAACATGAGAGCACATACGACTGTAATTCCAGGGCTGGGAAGCCTTTCTCTGCCTGATGGAGGTGGGATAACCAAAAGTTGACTCGGCCACTGCTCTCTTTTTCAATGTGCACATACATTTGTAACTATCTGCATGCATGTATATGTATGTTCTTTCATAGCCCAACACCATGCAGCTAGGCTTGGAAAAAAGCATTCCATTAACAGCAATTGGAGGATTTTAATAAACTTAATTGTTATGAGGATAGATACTTGGGGTTTTGAGAAAGAGAGGGTTCCCCACTGGTGAACATACTTCATTGGTTGATAAGAATCCTCCATCGGTGGCAATGTTCTTTTCCTAAGTCTAATTGTGAAAGGAAGGAGAGGGAGTTGATGCTTTCACGCATCTCCATAGAAATAACTCAGTGGAATGGGAATCACACTGATTGCCACCTTGTCTGCCTCTGGTCTGCTGCATACCTTTTCCCAATCCAGCAAAGAGATTCCTGGTTCCTCCTGTGCAAGTATTCCCTGGATATATTGGCACAATGAACAAAAATCGATTAAATTTTAAGGGTGCTGAGGCTTTCTATAGCTCTTTTATAGTTCTGCATTGAAGACCATAGGTTGAGTCTATTCATAGAAACAGAGCAAGTCAGAAGGGGTCTCCTGGACCATCTAGTTTGACTTCAGGCTCCTGCCGGCTCTACTCAAGACATGTATTCTTTCTTGGTCTTCCAGTTTCACGGCAGTAAATTGTCAGTACTTGTTTTAAATGCCCCACAGTGGTATGTGAAAAACCAAAAGCCATATGCAACAAAAAGCAAGAAAAGATTATTTTGTTACTATAATAAAAGGAAAGCAGTACTTGACATGCATCATTGGCCAAGAATATTTATTAAAGTCTCTCAAACGTGCTTTTAAAATGTATGTTAGAATAGCAGGAACATGTTAAACTACTTTCATAGAACTTCATCTGAAGGGACACTTACACAATGAATATAGCACATTTTAATAAGAAAATAAAGCAGTTTAAAGCTTTGCACCGAGTAACACTTCATGCTACTGCATTCTAAAAATCTGCATAGATATCTTTGGACAACTTATTGAAAACTGGTGAAAGTTTCTTGTTGGACAAGCAAACTGGATGAGTAGTTCTCTCATTCTTGGCTGCCTTTTAGACTCAGTGCTTGTTATTCCTTGCTGATGTCTGGAGTACAAATGGGCTTGTGGAGAACTTGAAATGCATTTGGTGTGTGTGATTCTCTATTGAAAATCATCTGTTACTAAGATGGTACAT